CCCGGCTAAAAATTGACATCTATATACCAAGTTCCACCTGCATTAAGTTTAAGTGTTTGTATCTGTGTCTAGTATAATATAACAACCGTCACTGTTACAAAAACAACTAGTTGAAACTAAAAAATTTACTGCTCAAATTCGCTTTACCTTTCATTATTTGTTTACATCAATTTAGACAAAAAGGGGTGTCAATTTATCTAACAAAAGCATACATTTCGTAACATAATCTTTCACCACCTTTATATATAAACATATTATCCGTTCAGCGCAATAGCGTAGTGTTAAAGTGTTCGTTTCGCGAGTGTAAAGACCCTGGTTCAAATCCTGGAAAAAACATTTTTGAACCACATTTTTTGTTTCATTATCAATATCATTGTAGAGTATTTCATGGCATCGTACATTTCACACAAATAATTGTTCATTAATTTAATCACAGCTTCATAAAAGAGAAAATCAAAACTTATGTTACAAGTTAAGAAAAAAAAATATTCTGAAAGGTACAACAACGCTAGGAAAATATGCTCAATTGCATATATTAACCGAAAATTAAAAGTTTATAAGCAGAGCTCTTAGAAACATTAGGCTTTATCTGTTGTTTAAGACATGATGAAAATTGAAGTAAATAGTAATTTGATTTTGCCTAAAATATTATACAAACATCCCTGCATCAAATGGTTAGATTTTAAAACGTTTATGGCCGCAAAATGTTAAGTCTATTCTACTTAAATAAACCTGATTTATTTGTGAAATCATTATATACAGTAGACACTAAATACTCATAATTAAAACAATTTTTTAACGAAACGGTCGAGTGCTATAAACATTCTGAAAATGCTATAGTTAGCAAGGTCAATGTTCAATTTTAAAAATCGTAATTTCTGACTTCAATTTCTGAAGAAAAAAAACTTTATCACATACTGAATGAAAATAATTGATTAAACATTATATAAGGTTGTATTCGTAAACGTGCTTTGAAAATAATAATAATATTGTTTCGTCTTTCCGTAAATATCAGAAATTGTGAAAATTATGAAAATTCAACATCTTTCGACAGTTCAGAGGAGGAAGATGAAAATTACAGTTATAACAGTGACCTTATTAACTCTGATCTTTTTATTGAAATTCACGAAACCATTTTTATCAAAATCATAGATATATAGGTACAATAAACTGCATGGTTTAAATCTAATTTAAAAAAAAAACATCTTCTTGTTTAAGTAGTTGTAAGGGTTTGTCATAATTTCATTTTATTGTAATATGTAAAAGGGATTTATTTCTTGCAATTTTAACTGATTTTTTTAATTTAGTGTGATGAAATCTCAGGTTGAGACAGTAAAAGTTCAGACCATGACATCCTTAAAGTATTCCCCATATCGCCATAGAAGAGGTGGACGAATGAAGAATGTTAATTAAGAATCATGAACAGTATTGTATATATTCACAATATTGTTCCATTTAACATTGAGATCTTGATTCAGTTATAAAATACAAAGACAAATATACAATCAGTGATTTGGATGGTTGATTGGAAAATGTCAACCTCAGGGAGATCGGTTCAGTCGGGAATAAGCCTTGGTGATATAAGAATGAAACGTGCATGGATGTTTACCATCCAAATGTCAGTGTTAAAGTTTATGAATATTTTTGTCTATCTAAAACATGCTTTACGAATACGTGAAGCGTTGTTGTAGTACATAATGTCAAGTTTAATAGTTTCAAAAAAAGTTGTTTATATCTTGCATTTGTTAAAGTACCACATTTATTGCTTTGTACATGTGATTCCGTGTTGAATAAAACTTGCTAAAATAAGCTTATTTGTTTACCCTGTTAAAGAGCTTTAAAATAAAAAAGTCATATTCCAAAAAGTTTGGAATAAGGTTAAATCATGGTCAGAAAAGGTTGGTTAGATTAGGTTGGATTATATATGATAATGGTCAGAAAGGGTTAGAATATATCGAAATAATGGTCAGAAAAAGGTTGGATTATGGTCAGAAAATGATCAGAAAGTGTTGGATTATGGTCAGAAAAGGTTGGATGATAGTCATGTTATGACATTGAATAGACGTCGTTTTCTGACGTCTAAAATACTTTCAAATACAACTGTCTGCCAACGTTTACCAAACGTCAGGGTCTAACGTCAGTACAACGTTGGTACAATATCTCTTCTTCGCTGGTCGTAGCATTGAGGAAATCTGTTCCAAAGTACAGCATCTGTCTCAGTGCTAATAGTATCAGAATCTCTTTATTGGTGTCCCGTTCCGTTTCGCTATGATAATTCTTTATCGGGAAAATATTTTGTTCCTAAAACAATAATAAAACGACCACGTTAAGACATTAGCCAATGAACAAAGGTAATGTTGTCTAATTACCTGATCAAATTGAAACGTTTATTTAAATTATGACAAATTAATAAACTTCAAGTTTCTCATGTAAACACCGGAAAGTATTATATAGTGGTCCATGTTTTGGTTAAAATGAGAAATTAAAAGCAACTAAAATATAATTGTTTCAAATTTAAATATACATGTATTGCTCTGATGACTTTAAAAAATAATTTTCGACGACTTTTTGAAATTCTTTTCTTCAATTTTTGAAATAAATGTATTGTATTCAATTTTGGGATAAATGTGTATTGTATTATTTCATTTTACAATTTTATATAAGTTTGCATAGATCGCAGTTAGGATTATCATAGGCTAGTGGTATTGAAAAGCGAAAAGTTGTTTAGATGAAAGATGTCAAATTTCCATCCGATTTTATGACATGCATGTTCTATATTCAACTTTTGATATGAACGATTCATAAGGGTAAAAATGTATAAGGCATGTTCTTACCGGAACATTTTTTAATTCGACGGCAATATCAACATCTTGGAATTTAACAAATTATGTTTTAACTGTTGGCTGTATAATATGGATGTGTTTACGATATTTCTAAGACGTTTTTACTTATAAATGGCCATACCAACCGGAAATCTCAAGGAAATATTGTTTGGGTCCCTCAAAAGTTGTACAAAACGATTTTGCAGCGGAATTAGACAACTTGTATTTTAACGACTGACTCTAGAATGTGGTGTTTTCAATACACTTTTTAAAGACAAAGAACAAATCGTCGTTAACAAAAATTACCATGCCACGCTGAAATCTCCAGGACATATTGTTTGGGTTAGGGCTTTGTACAACATGAATTTGAAACGAAAACAGACTATTTGTGCTTGAACGGTATGCATTAGAATATGTTTTTTTACCAAAAATCATTCACTTTATATAGAGAAAGAACAAAACGCCGGTCCAATAATTGACTATGCAGTGCGGAATTCTCACGGACATATCTTTGCTTCTCAATTTGTGCAAAGACTGCTTCTCATTTTGTGCAAAGAGGACCCTTCAAGGTAGGTTGTACAGAAAGGAATTGTCAACAGAAGCAGGCAATGTGTTTAAACTCTGAAGAATATGGATGTTATTTACGAAATTTCTTAAACTTATTCCTTTACAAAAAAGACTTTCAATTAGTGTAATGTGGCATGCCAGTAGTGCAACATTGTTTTGTATGTAGTTAATAATATACGATGATAATCTATATTAAGTTTCTACAAATATTAACAACTAATCATGGTAATAAATATAAAAATACATATGTAAATATACCCTTGACAAAAGTTTCATCAACTGTATTTTTCAAAATGTCCATTACATGTTTCGTTGCAAATGGTATATCATGCTATAAGAAATGCAGACAATCGAATACACTCAATTCGTTTTCCTTACAAAAGTTCACACCTAGCTGTATTTGTTCTGTCTCTAATCCGTTTAAATATTTTTAAGTCCATTTTGCCCGACTTGTTATTTTTAAAATATATTTTCTAAAACAGTTTCAGACTCAAAACAAAAATTTCTTCTATAAATAGATTTTTTGGATTTTCACAATGTTAAGGTCACCTTTTTATAGCTTTCGAATTGAAATAACCAGTCTTGCTCAGCAAACAAATACATACATAACGCACTGTCTACTAAAATAATTAGTAATTTTCTGTAGAAGATACAAACGTAAGAAATAAATTAACGAATTTAAGTATATGTTTTTGTTTTGTATTTTTAACGCCTTCCCAGCGTAAAATTTGTACCGGTTTTCATTCATTCATATGACATGCTGCGAGTCACCGAAGGGGGATACTTTACATTATAGAAATGGGACGGAAGTTTTTATTTCGATTTTATTTTTAGCCGTAACCCGGGGGGGTTTAATTTTAAAATCGGGTACATGGCCCAAAAATTTTAAACAAAAATGCCACCGTCAAAATTATGGGCGGGGAAAACAATGCGTTTTATTTTAACAAAAAAGGGGGGTGCTAAGACTAAGTTTTAAGGGGGTTGATTAAGCGTTGCCCCCGTTTTAGTACAAATGTCCATTTGTTTTTCTTGGAACCAACAATGTGCGGGTTTAAAAAAAAGATTGTGAAAAAATCTTAAATTTATATAATTAATATTTTTAGGAAATTAAAGGAGAAGGGGGTATGGAATCTTGACAAAAAAAAAGAGTTTTAAAATATCGGGTTATTGTTAAATCGAGCGAGTACTACATACTGTTAAGTAACTTCAGCCTCCAAAGAAGAACATGTAATTTGACAAAATGCCTTTATCAGCATGTACTAGTGTATGCAAGATAATCGCCCTTACGGAAGCTCGACGTATGGTATAATGATCATTATCATACTTTGTCTTAAGAGACCGTTTCATAAAGCGACCGTTTGGGTGTTTTCCTATGCGCGGTCGCTAAATACACGATTCAACGTACATGCTGATTAAAAAACGGATATCAATAAATATTCTTATTTCAAAAAGGATATTTTGAAATCAGTATCATTTTTTATTCTTTGCTGAAAACCAGATTTGCTACAATAAATCTCACATATAATAAGTGTTACGGCCTAATCATTGTACACATGTTTTGACAATTCAACGAGCCATTAAACAAAGGTATCGTTAGATGGGACGAAAGTATAAAATTAATGTCATTCTGAAAAGAGAAAACAGTTTTATTTGATTTTTTTACAAAGGTACAATTATATCTACAAGAGAAACACATATATTATTTTATAGGCTTTTTGACCTCAGTTGATTTCTTTGATTTCCTACGGATATATTTTGCAGTTAAATGTTACTTATTTTCGTGCACAAGAACTTGTAGTTTACTAAAATCTGGATGAAAATCCAGTTCCATGGTTGAGGAAATCTGTTCCAAAGTTCACCATTTGTCTCAGAGCCAATAGTATCAGAATTTCAGCATTAATGTTTTTCGCCGATTCGTGTTCGTAATTCTTTACAGGGAAAATATTCTGCTTCTAAAGAAAAAAGTAAAAGATAAGATCGTTTGACATTTAATTATACACAAAGTTTTTTTACTATTGAAATGTCTGCACTGATTAAAAATTAGGTAGATAACCCCTAATGGGTACTATATAGAACTGTGAAATTGACAAGATAAGACAGTTATATGCCTAAAGATCAACTGCATGCAAATTTAAACAAAATGAGTGTTGGAGGTTTTTTTAACTAAACTTTTGCTATAAGATGAGCTCTTTTTTCAGAAATGAGGAAACGAAACTCCAAATAATTTATAGTATCATCATTATGAAAAATGTTTTTCTTCCATTGCCCATTGGTAAAAAACAGATAACAACCTTTTGCAGGTAACAAATTACACAAGCAAACTGATTGCTTCGAAACGAAATATTAAAAATATGTAGAAAAATGTTACCCTACCCCATCCACTTTAAGCATTTATTTGACCATTTTCCTTTGTAAAAACCTTATTCAAAATATCCCTAACATTTTACTACAATGAGAAGCTGTTTCCAAAATTTGCCTTTTTTAAGTATATTGGTTGATGTTTCAAAATATAAAATACTTTTACCGTGTAGTTTTATTTCTTTTTAGATATATATGAATATATGTCGTATCATATTTGCTATAACATTTGGCATTATTTAGCAAACAAAAACCTACAAGAATTATTAAATTAAAATCAAAGACTTTTGTCTTTCCATAAGAGATTTAAGAGATACATGTATGTAGATAATGATAAAAAAGTAAAAAAAGAAAACATATAGTTGCCCCTTCTGGGGTCTGTACCCACGCTCCTCAGAATCAATGCAGTTGACAATGATTTTAGCCTGTATGAATACTACCGGTATTCAAAGTGGAGGTAATGCATTTAGAATGATCTATCTTAAGTCAAATAAATAATTTTGCATACCCGTTTGTAAGGAATGAAAAATTATAGTCAATATTTACACAAAAAAACGTTTCTTTTATCTGATGTTATAATATTCACGAACATATCACACTTCAAATAATCAGTTCCCCCAATTAACATGTGTTTATTACCCCTGATACAATTATTGTTATATACCATAAAAAATATTTCGTTTACAGGTTAAATATGGGGACAGTCTTGAATATAGATAAAGTGCTAAAGCGATATATGAAAGGAAATCGTTGAATAAGGATTTTTTGCTCATTCATGAACTCTATAATTATGAGCATTAGAAATTATGTGTTTCCTGTACGGAGATGATGTCTGACTCATGGTACAAGATACATAAACTTTATAAAAATGTCTGACATAGACAATACAAATTGACAACGTATATACGACATGTACTATTGTATGCAAGATAATCGTCCTCACTGAAGCTCGACGTATGGTATAATGTTCATTATCATACTTTCTCTTAACCCTTTACCTCATATATTCGCGAAACAACGTACTTTCGACCCCCCCCTTTTTTAGGCCTCAAAAAATGTCCTATTTGTTCCCCAAACAGATGTTTTCGTTTGAGAAATGTTGCTAAAAAAATGAGCAATTTTTCGACGCCGCCCCCCATCTAAAAGATACATCAGGGGGTTGCCAGAAGGGGATGAAAAATTCAAGAAAATTTTGGACTTTTGAGAGGCTAAAAATGATCCCAGGTCGATCATATTGTAACGTGTAACCAACGCTGAAAAGCCTTTGACTCTATCTCAATCCCTTGAGAAGTTGCAGCACTTTGAAATAAATTTTGATGGAAAAAATCGAGGCAAAATATTGATTTTTGGCAATTTTGAGATGCCCCCTCGTTGCCATGGTAACAGGAAATTTAAGACTGAGCATGTCGTTACAAAGGCAATGGTCCAGTCAACATTTGTGCCAAGTTTGATTAGTATTGAAGCATTTTTCATAGTTTCTTAGCAGTTTGAACTTGTAACAGGAGGCATTTCATTGAAAACGGCCATTTTTCACAATATGCTCATGGGGAAAAGGGTTAAGAGACCGTTTCATTAAGCGACCGTTTGGGGGTGTTTCCTTTGCGCGGTTGCTAAATGCACGATTCACTGTACATGTAGATTAAAAACGATATAAATAAATATTCTTATTTCAAAAGAAATATTTTGAAATCAGTATTATTTTTATTCTTTGCTGAAAACCAGATTTATTACATGTTAGAAATGATAGAAATAGCAAGGTCAAACAGGAGAGTGTCAATGTATCTGACATAAAATAGGTGTTGTGACATAATCATTTACACGTGTTTTTACAACTCAACGGCTCATTAAACACAGGTATAGTTATATGGAACTGAATAACAAAATTATTGTCATTCTGAATAGAGAAAACAGTTTTATTTGTTTTATTCTAAGATGACCGTAGAATAGTTTACTAAAATCCAAAATGAGTATTGTCTAATTTGACTAAATAATAATGTTTTTTTTTTCAGTAGTTTAATATTTTGGTTATTTCCCGCAATTGAAATAAATATTCTGAAATAAAAACAGTAAGCAAAAACATGTAATTTAGCACGCAAGTTATTGGTCTGGACCTACATCAAATGGAACATTTAAAGCAAAAAAAATTTCAAGTGCCGTTATGTCAAAATTCCTCAGTAAAGTACTTTTAAATATAAAGCATGTATTTACCGGAACCTTATATAACTCCACGGCCAGATTAACAGCTTGCTTGACTTTTTCACTCGTATATATATTTGTTACATTTGTTGCAACCGATTGACACAGTACATCAATTTTGGTTAACACTACAAAAGTTGCAATATCTGTAAATAGAAAAAAATGCAATCATCTTGCTTCATCGTTTTAACATAATCATTTTTAAGTTACAAACACTACACATGCCGATGAGTTTGTGTCTTTGTTTCATAAAATCGATAAACAATTTTAGCCATTTATAATCAACCATGAAATTCTGAGATCTTTTTAACTTAAAATTTAGCAGATATTAAGCTAAAATCTCTCACAAATATATAGTTATAGCATGAAATGATGCAAATTAACAGAGTTACCAACGTCCCCCGCCTCTGGGAATTTTTTATAAAGCATAAAATTTCGCTATTCCAAAAAAAAAAATGATGTATGGATGTCAGGACTTTCAGTCCAAAATTATGATCAATGCTACATCTACAAATGCAACAATAAATTTATTTTATTTTAAGAAATAAAATTAAACATGGAATTTAAAAATTCATCATGATAAGCTTTGACAAAGTGTGACCTTGACAATGGAAGTATGGGTGCAGGTGTTGTGCATGACACATCGTCTTATTATAGTGACTATTCACGCAAGTATTTACAAAATCCTTTGATATATGGAAAAGCTATGGAACGGACACAAAATTTACCCTGTAACAGACTGTGTTAAATTTTGACCTCTAAGTGTGACCTTGAACTTGGCGGTAGGGATGCAGGTGTTGCGCATGACACATCGTCTTATTATAGTGACTTTTCACGCAAGTATTTACAAAATCCTTTGATATATGAAAAAGTTATGGACCGGACACAAAATTTACCCTGTAACAGACTGTGTTAATATTTGATTTCCAAGTGTGACATTGACCCTGGAGGTAGGTGACCAGTTGTTGCGCATGACACATCATCTTATTATTGTGAAAAATTCTGGCAAGTATTTACAAAATCCCTTCAAATATAAGAAAGTTATGGACCGGACACGACATTTACCCTCAAATAGACAATGTTGACCTTGAGCAAGTGCGATCTTGACCCTTGAGGTAGGGATCTGCTTATTGCGCATGACACATCGTCTTATTATAACAAACATTTATGCCAAGTTATTTTAGATTCTTTCATAAATGACAAAGTTATAGACCGGACGGACGGACTGATGGAAGGACGGACAGACAGACGGATGGAGCCTATTTCTAAAATCCCCTTTTTTCTTCGAAAAGGCGGGGGACAGAAATAGCAATTACTCCAACAATAATGATGTTGATAGTTGTCGTTCTAGTCTTTTCATCCAATGAAGTTTCTTATCAATATCTCTAAAGTTTTATGAGTTAATGTCTTGACAAATGGTATGTATGTAAATAAACTAAAAGTACAAACTTAAAAGAGTGAAATATAAAGATTTTATAAATCTGCTAGTCTGCTGGTCACTGGTCCTCTATGAGATCCATCAACACATTAAGTTTCGAGTAGATATTCTGAGCACTGTGATGTGCGAGACATGTTCAGGATGTAAATTAAGCATAACAATAACAAAGACAATGCCTAGATGGATCAAGTTATTATTCCTGTGCATTGCATTTTTTATTCAATGGCCCTTTTCTTTATATGATGTTTATACTTGAAATATCTTTTCTATATTTATCACGACAAAAATAACAAAATAAGTAATAATGAAACATACAATAACTCAAAATTATAGAAAAGAAACAAAACAACAACAACAACAACAATAATAATAATAATAATAATAATAATAATAATAATAATAATGATTAGAATAATGATGATTTTATGATAATGATAATTGTAATAATAATGATAATACAAAGAAAAAATAGGAAGAAGAATCATTCACAATTGATATATATCCCTACGTGGACTCTGTCGTATGAAATTAATCAAATCATTGTACACTGACTGAATAAATTGATTCTTGTTATATACCTTCTGGGCTTAATTCAGCGTGAACATCCTTAACTATCTGTTTGGTTTCACCTGAAACATTATCTTGTCCGAGAATATTAGCGTCCACTACATACACAACGCAGTTCACTTTATCGCACATTTTAGGATCAGACCTATAATAGTCGCTCTTTGGTGAAATGGGTGATGCAGGATTAAACTTAATGTAAAATAAAAACAAAATTAAATATACATGTTACTTTTATATCATGTTTGCTTTAATATAATTTTGCTGTTTTGTTTTTAGTTGCGTTTATCAAGATTCTGAAACAACGCTTTTCTGTGTCTAATAATCTACAAAACTGTTTATATGTGTAAGTATTTTGTTTAAGTTTTTGCAAATTGTAAAATAGACCTGTTTAATTAACTTTTCGTTGCTGTGTTGTTCGTGCAAGAAAATTTGCACATTGACTTTCTGATAATCTTTGACTAACAAATGTTGGCGATAATACTTACCACTGTTGGAAAAACTCACAGTCGACTGCGATATTTTATTTCAAAGTACCATTGAAAGTTAGGACCAAGTAACAAAGACACTGAGAATTTTGAAAAACCTTTTGTATCGTTTAATTTCAATCAATTAAATACTAATTTATCAAATTAATTTAATGTAGTGTTGAATAAAGACATAATCGTTCAGTGTGACATTTAACTATATACATTTATAGAGAAATCAAATCAAATTATCATTAATGAGATTGTTTCCCTTTGTCATACCTTGTAACCAGGGCAAATATTTCCATGCACAAGATATGGGATATCTTTCACATTCAAACCACTCATGTTGGTCTCTAAACCCATCGTATCCAATATGCAGATCTTCTTTAATGCGTCCCTTGGTCTATATTCCTTCAGCTAAAGATATTTGAGTTACATGAGGTACAGAAAAATTAGCAAAGTAATATCTACTACAATAAGTTTGAAAGGGGTAAACCCAAGATGGGTGTTTTTTCATGCAGGTCGATTATAAGTCCACTTCCGGTTAAACCGAATTTACCCTTCGTCCATATGTTCGTCCACAGTCCGTCCATGATATTTGATCCTGTGACATACAAAAAGTACTGAAAATATATTTATGAAACATGAAAAATCCGAAGATGACAAAGTCTGTGGATAACAAGATCAGTATCTCCCACAGGAAAAGTGATACCCTTTAAACCGTGTTCCAAAGCTGCTGTGCATTCATGGAACATTCGTTAAAACCCAGTCTTGGCAAGGGTAAAGTTTATTTCAAAGCTAGCATTTGGTTTGGCTTACAAATATGGCTGCGCCACATAAATTAATTAGGGAATATAGAACAGTGGTCGGCTCATTCCTTTTAATTTGTCACAAAGCTGATGTTAAATGAAACAATTCTAGACCTTAATCAAATGTTTAACCATAAGTGATTCTTATCAAATTTTGAGTCATCTATTTATTTTTAAGTTTGAATGTTTGATTTTCCTTTGATATATCTCATTACTTTGTGTTGGTCATTATTTCCTAAATATTAAAATATTTCAATTGGTTCTTGGGCACTTTGTTTGTGAATATCTTGGTGGCAGAAGATCTCAAGAGCCCTTCCCGGCAAGTTCAATGCACGTACAAGTTTGGTAGAAGAAATAATGTTTAACATAAGCAATTAGCTACATACATTGCGTACAATTATCACGTAAAGCTAGACACAGATGTAGTCGTTTATCAAAGATATTTTATATTGTAGACCTTATAAAAAGATAATTTATTATAACCAATTTATCAACGAACGATGAACATTAATACCTCATTTGTCAAGCTTCCGTCAGCTGCTCCAGCGCGTGTGACCTGTGCCATTCGATTCCTGTCTATTGTAGCTACAGTGTTTATAAATGAGGACTTCCCTGCTTTGACTTGACCCAACAGCATAATTCGGATCCTTTCAATTCCTTCTTCTTCGGTTTCATGCTGCTGTATAGTTTCTAAAAGACGCTCGTGGTACTTTCAATGCAAAGGAAACAATATCATCACATGTTACGGGTACAAACTTTATAACTTTACAACTAATATATTCGAATGCTTAAGGACATTGAATCTATTTTAATTGTGTTGGGTGACTTCAAATAGTTTTGTTTATTGTACAGATGTCAGCAGAAACCCTCAGTTTAGTACAACGTATTAACAAGAATAACAATTTTAAAATCAGCATATTATTCAATTAATTTGCCGAGGAATCGGAGTATTATAGAAATCACAGAGAAACAATTCGTAATTTTACATTGCCGACATAAATCACTAGGAGATCAAATTGATATCAGAATGTTTAAATAATTTGCATTTTGACATTTCTCAGTATAAAAAGAAAAGGTGTTTTAACATATGTTTTTCATACAGTAATGTACTGCAAAATGAACTGTCAACATCGTCAGCGTAGGTGCCATACATAATCGAGTGTTTCGCCCCGTTATACCTAGGACACTCTAATATAGTGGGGCCACAGTGGGGATCAAACCACTGTGTGTTGACAGTTAGCACCAGCTCTTTTCATCTCTCCTAAGCCATAACCAACAAGATGCCTTTTCAGCTGCACTACTGATTGAGCGGATTGCTTGCTTTCTCTGATGGCCAGTTATTCCTATCTCGGTCAGCATCTTCCAAAATGACTTAGCTTGGAAGCCCCTGGTCCCGACTTCTACGGAGAAAAGCCAGGCTTTCCATCCTTTCTTTCTACAGTCTTCAGTTAACGGGGTGTACTTGGCTGATTTACGTTCGTAAGCCTCGTCACACCTCTCTTCCCAAGGTACCGTCAGTTCAATGAGCACAATCTTCTTGTCCTGGGGGGCCCACAATACTATGTCACAGAGTTGTCTGGACCATCTCTTGGAAAAAAGTCGCTTTTCCAGGTCTACTCTCATCCCCCAGGTCTTTGATGACTGCAGGACCCCACTCTTCTGTCTTTCCCTCTCGAGGATGTCTGCTAATTGCCTTAAGACTCCATCGTGCCTCCACCTGTAACGGCCTTGTGACAGCGTTGTTGAGCAAGAACTAAGAACATGCTCCAGTGTTCCTCTCTTGCCACATAGAGAACACGATGGATCATCGATTAGTTTCCAGCGATGGAGATTAACTGGTGTCGGTAGAACATCATACACGCTGCGGAGAAGGAAGCTTATACGAATTGGCTTCATCTGCCAGATATCTGACCAGTTGAGTTTTCTCTCTGGTAGATTCCACATGGTAGATGCTCCTTGACTCCCCATCTGTACCAGTTGTGCCATTCTTCGCTCCTCTTCACCCTTCCTAATGTCGGCCTGAATCGTAGATCTTCTGTCTTGTCTGGATGTTGTTGAGTACCTCTGACGTTCAACCAATCCAAGGCCAAGGTGCCCTACAGTTGTGGTACCAACAATGTCAGCATGTCTGAGGCGTGACTCTGCTGACTCCACTGCTTGGCTGACTGGCTACTTTCTACCAATCCTTAGCTCGATACCGGCTCCTCGAATGCATTTATCAGGAGAGTCCTTAAGTGTCATAAGTAAGCGAGCCTTGGAGACCTTGAACTATTCGACCAATGAAGAGACTGGTAGCTGCAGTTCCCCTGTTGCAGTGTACAGACCTAGGCTTGTAAAACATTGCGGGAAGCCAAACCACTTCCGAATGTGCTTTTTTATATTACGCTCTAGGGATTTTGCTGTTGATGTTGGGATCTCATACAGCATCAAGGGCCAGCTAAGCCTTGGTAGTAGTGAGTGTTGGTCGATCCACACCTTAAACTTTCCTGGGAGTCCTGTCTTGTCTTTAGTCTTCAGATTCTGGCTCAGACTAACCTGGAGCTGATCGATAGCTTCCTTGTATATTAGGGTAGTATCAAATCACTTCCCAAGGCACTTGATAGGATTGTCTATGATCCTCGGGATGTCTTTGCCTTGAATCTTCCGGTCCACATGAGGCAGTATCTTCCCCTTCCTGAGTACAAGGTACCTTGACTTTCTTGACTTGAACTTCATTCTTGCCCAGGATGCTGTTTTTTCCAGAACACCAAGAATCCATCTTGCTTGTATGTAGGATTCTGTTGTTATGGTTATATCGTCCATAAACCCTCTGGTTTGAGGCATCCTTATGCCAGATGTCATCTTGGGACCCCTTGTCTCCTGTTCTGCTGCCTTCAAGATAAGATTCATGCCAAAGACAAACAAGATGACTGAGACTGTGCATCCTGTAACTATACCCCTTTCTACCTTGATCCAGTCAGTGGTAAAGTCTGGAGTGCTGAATCTAAGACGAACATTGCTGTAGTAGCTTCGTATCAGCATCTTTATCTTCTCTGGGATATGACAGTGGTCTATGGCATGTTCAATCACCTTGTGTGGAATAGATCCATAGGCGTTGGCAAGGTCTAACCAAACTACTGTGAGGTCACTGTTGTTGAAGCCTGCTTCTCTGATGAGCTGTGTTATTGCTGCAGTATGTTCAAGACATCCTGAAAAGCCTGGAATGCCACCCTTCTGGACTGCGGTGTTGACATAATCATTTTCTGTCATGAAGGCAGATATCCTCTTGGCGACAATTGAGAAGAATATCTTGCCCTCTACACTCAGCAAGGATATTGTTCGGAACTGGCTGATGTTTTCCGACTTCTTCTCCTTAGGTGTTAGGCATCCTTATGCTTCCTTCCAGAAATCAGGTACTGTTCCTTTACACCAGACAATCTTGATGAGGTACCACAGTTTCTTCAACAGCTTCGGGCAGTTCTTGTAGACCTTATAAGGGATCCCAATTGGTTCTGGGGCTGACATTGATCGGGCCTTCCTCACCACCTCACGAACGTCTCTCAGTGTTGGTTCAGTCAACGTAAATGGATGTGTAGGTGGGTCCACTGGGCGTATCTGCGAGCATTCCCCTAATGGATCTTCTCTCTGGGAGTCAGCGTGTGCTGTTTTCAGGTACTCCTCCGTTTCCTCTTTGCTGCTTGTCAGTCTTCCTGACTTCTCATCACTGAGCAGGGTTTTGGAGAACTTGTGCGGGTTGGAGATTAACGCTGCTCTCTGTCTCTCTCTTTTCTGCCTGCCTTTCCTCAGCCTCTCAGCTGTGGTCAGGCTCTTTAGCTTCTTTCTGATGATGTCCCTTCACTCGCTGAGACTAATCTTCTCTTGTTCAGTCGCTCTTTTATACTGCTTTCTAAATGAACGCAGTTCCCTTCTTAGGCGTTTTATCTCCATGTCCCTGCGATTTGGTTTGAAGGGCTTTGGGGCTTTCCTCTCTTAAATGCCAAACCTCTCCTTCCCAACTGCATACGTGATAGCTTAGAGTGTGCGTATTTTCCTGTCTACTTCGCCTTGGATAGCTACACTGAGTATAGTATCAAGGTCACCATCAAACAGCTGCCATTATTTCTTGTCTCCCTGTGTAGGCCACTTGACTTGCGGCTTCCGTTCTGTAGTGGGTTGTTGTCGCTGACTAGGTTCATCACGTGACTGGGTGTTGCTGTCTGTATTGCTTGCTTCTCCATCTAACTGGGATACTGGCTGTCAGCCCCTTCATCATGAGATTGGATTTCTTCAGCACTATGGTGACTATCCTGGCTGGAGTCTTCCTGCGTCTCACTTAGGTGTGACCCTTTGCACTGCTCATGCTGTAGATGCTGACCGCACTTTGATCTCGCTTGGTGGATCTTCAGTCCCCTGGCGTTTTTACACACATTTCCACACTTGCAAACAGATGATGCAATATGCCCAATTTTGTTTTATTTCGCTTATTCTAACTGTTGTATTTTTCCCTTTTCATCTGTTTTTGCATTGTTACATTGTCAAACGTTTGCATTGAGTTATCCTTTATATAATGATGCTACATGCTACTTCTCTTTAGGTTTCTATGTCATTCACTCGTGCAATTAGTTTATATTTATGGAATTGAAAAAAGAGAAAACTGCAGTGTTTGCATGTTCTTGTATACTATCATTTTCAATTGTATGATACATTTATTCAAAACATGATATATATTTGCTTGAAGTTATGAAGCAAGTAACTTGACAATAATGTAAAAAAGTAAAGACAGAGAACATGGTATGAATGTACACACTTGTACACATTTCTGTTTTTCCCAACAAGAGGGTCATAATGACCATTATACCGCTTCCCCTGCTTAACTAAAGGCTTTTGATTAATATTGTAAGCAAAAATTGAAAAACAGATAGAATTTCATAAAATTTATTATTATAAATGTAATTAAGGCAATTCATATATATGGATGTAACCTAATTGTTGACCCAAGATTATCCGTATTCGAATTTGACATATAAATCATTTAAACAACTTTGCTGGCAAATATCTAAGAATGTAAATATCACATTTACACTGCAAACAATGTTTTTTTCTCTATATTTTGGCTATGTGGCCTAGTTTTTGAGCCTTGATAGTCCATTTCAAAATATGAGTTAGAAATCTACATTCCAACATTTCTGACTAATATCCAGGGTATTGGTTGATCCATTTTTTAGCTGCGATACCTAGCTTTTGACAACATATGACCTATATTCAAAATTGAGCTTGAAATTATCCAAACAACCTTTTCGGCCATTTTCCAGGACGTTCGGATAGAAACAATAGCCTCTGCAGTGTTAACAAGACTTAGTGTTTTTTTTTCATATGTGGGCTATGTGACCTAGTTTTTGGCACCAGATGACCCATATTCAAACATGGATACAAACAACCTTTCTGACCGAATGGTCAAACATATTACCTCTAGAGCGATAACAAGATTTTTTTTTGTGTTTTCTTTCCATATTTTGGCTATATGACCGTTTTTGGACCTCAGTTGACCCTTTTAGAACTTAAGCTAGACATCCTCTAAACAATCTTTCTGACCAATATTCAAAACATTGGGCAAAAAAAGAAGCCCCAAGTGTGTTAAGTAAGTTTTTCAATATTTATGTTCTGATACTAAGCTTTAATCAACTTAACCTACAAGTCGTCTTATCATCATTTTTGACAAATTTCAAAATGATCCCTCTTGAGTTAACCTAGTCTCTTTACCCCAGATGACCCATATTCAAACTTGAGATAAAATGTCTTCATCAACCTTTCTGACCTATTTCTAGAGTCTCTAGAGTGTAAACAAGGTTGGTTTATATTTCGGCTGTGACATGGATGTGTGTTTCTGATCAATATTACCTATATCTGAAATTGAGCAAAAAAATAATCTTGTATGACCAATTTTCAGGTCATTTTAAAACAGTAGCATGACCTTGTTTCTGAACCCATATTTTAAAAAAAAACCTAGAAAAAAAAAATTTTTTTCAATTTTGGCTTGTGAATTTTTTACTTTTAGTGACCTTTTTTAACTAGCTAGAATCTTTTAAACATTTTTTAAAAGACTTTCGGGCAGCTTTAGCAAAACTAGCCCTTAGCGTTAAGTTTTCCCCTATTCAGGGTTTTTGACCTACCCTTTTTTAAAAATATTCAAACTTGAGCAAAAATTTATCTATAAACATTTCTGCTTATTTCAAGAATAGTCACAGAGCGTTTTTCAAGATTTTTTCATTTTCAGCTTTTGACTTTGTTTTTAAACAAAATGACCCCAAAGTAGTTCGACTTTTCGCTTTTGTCATGTTTAAGGGCTAAATGTGGCGGCGGCGACACTCAAAGAAGCTTTTAAAATCACCCCGAGTCGGCACAGGTTACAATAAAAACCCATTCTATTACCTAAAAGACATATAAATAAACCAAGTAAAGCACAAGAAAATATTTTATTTTTTGGGGATATTTTGAAAAATTTTTGACATTTTTTATTTTCCTGTTTTTTTTCTTTTTTTCCGAAGAAAGACAAGCATAAAATTGCAGAAACACGGGACAAACACGCAGCACCAACCCAAAACAAATAAACACGCAACAAATACGCCGCAAGGGGACACATAACACACCTCGCGCCAAAACATTTCCTGTTCCACGATCAAATGGCGTATGAAGACAAAAGTTTTTATCCCTTTTGAAAAGAAAATCAAAATACCCCCTTTAGACCAGCTTCCTCCAGGTTCGAACTTCCTCCAAGGTTCAACAACTAAAACAAAAATGAGATTTTATAAATACAATTTCATGTGCATTTATAAATTAAGGATACTTTTGTTTTCCTCATAAATATTTTACCTAATGACTAAATCAACTGAGCAAGCGATTGTATTCAGTAAATAAGATGACCATTTGAAGTTTATATTATACTCTAATTATTCAGGCAAATCTATTCAGTGCGGTTAATGTGAGCATTTACCATTTCAAAATGTTAAACTATTTATTAAACTCAAATATATATGATAAAATAATTTTTACCGGTTTTACGTTTGTTAAGTATATTAGCAACTAAAGCCTTAAGTCAATTCAACATTACCTTGCTCTTCAATTTCAGGGACAATACTCTCATGTCGTTCTTTGTTATGTTGCTTATTCTTTTTGAACAATTTCTGAAATGAAATATAAAAGAAGACATTTACAGTGTATGTTAATGTATCGTGCATTATTATGATATTTATTTATTATTTAGACTGTCAAAATATGCTACAAGTAAGCCAAGTAAATCATTTTAATAATAACAACAACAACAACATCATTAACAACAACAAAACAACAATTAATAAATACAAATTATAAAATCGTAGTGATATTTTCAATTATTGCAATCGTTTACTATACTTTTCTTTATCTATTTATTTTTTCTATTTTTTCTTTTGTTTTTTTTCTAAATTTTGTTTTAAAAAAAAGAGGAAAGAAAACAAACTTAAAATGTAATATCATAACAGTTTTAATCTAAGTATGCAAAATATGGCTTTATTTGCAAACAATATACCTTAATTTTATCCATGTGTGCCTCTTTGTACCTCAATATCTTTAAAAATCCTGTACTTGATGCAAATCAGAAAACCTGCAATTATGTTTTAAAGCTCTTAAATGATAATCGATATCAGACAAGGGTTGTCAATCTAAAATTTGTGAAATGTTTGAGTACTTATGATAAATATTATTCGAAGGTTAAACCGATAATACGTTCATAAAAAAAATTCCCTTTTCACAGTAATAATTTTGTAAATTTTAAAATAATTAATAAAAGTGTGTGGTTTTGGTATTTTTCAAAATTAATGAAACAAATAAAAATTGTCCATGATCAAGCAGTCAAAAACAATTACTGTAAAAATTTTTTTCGGATTTTTAGGTTTAAGCTAAATTATGAAACAAAATTCTTGTCTTTTTTTGGTAAATCAAAAAATATTTAACTAAGAATGCCCCACGGAATTATTTTTTTTGTTTACCTTTTTACAAAAAAACAAAAGAAAATGTTATTTTTTAAAACATTTTTAAATTTCATTTTAGCAGGTTGATCCACTCAAATGGGGTTTGGTGAAAACCAAATGAAAAAAAGCATTATAATGTATTTTAATTATGCCAATTCAAAACCCATTATTTCATTTTTGAAGAACGTTGAAAATCAATAACTGTGGAAAAATTAATGAAAAATTTTAAATAATTTTTTTACTTTTATTAAATACGTTTTTTTATTAGACCCCCAAATATTGATAAATTAAAAAAAGAAAAATCGAAGTTAGTAATTTTAAAAAAAAAACCCCTTTAAAAATTTGATAAATTAAGTTTAATTTTCCCTTTATTGGGGTATGAAAATAAAAAGTTAGTTTTTTATTATTTTCGGATTATATTTATTGTAATTTTAAAAAATTAACCCTTTAACAAAGTTTGAATTTTTGTTTTTAAAAAAAAATCCAAAGAGAAAATAAAAAAATTTATGTGTTTTTGAACGATGGGTCGAAATGTTCAACCCACCATGATGCAAGGGCTTTGTACAAAACCCATAGCAATTTTTAATGTTTTGGTTCGCAAAGAACAATGACAAGAAAGCGTGATCAATATTGCAAAATTTAAAGACAAGTATTGAAATACGTACACAATAGTCACTTTCTTAACTTCGAGCCTTTAATTATTATCATATCCGATATTTTTATGATCACGCTCTGATGATCTGGATGTATACCTTGTGGAATTGCTTTCCTGAATGACAAAGTAGATAAAATAGATAATCCTTCTATGTTGACTTTATAGAGATTACGGTTATTTTGATTGAAAATTGTGACGTGAAGAGTATAAAATGGGTAAAAAACTTTTAAGGAGTTACTTATCATAAGAAATATTTTATTTGATAAAAACATACACGCTAGGATACCGAGTAGATTATCGAATATTCATCCCTGCCCTCACAAGTTGCATACCAATATTCAGGCATGCCCCATCCTGTTAGATAAAGGATATTTAGTTGTTCTTTTTAAATTAAGGAATTATTGATTGAACGTTTAAATTATTTTTCTGTTGAATTCCGAAGGTGAAATGGGAGAAACATTTTCATGTGTAAGCTTTCGTTATTATTTCAGTTATATAATTTAAATGTCAATTAACTTTTTTTTTTCGAACAAAGTTCTTATGTGCTTCTTACTGTTAAATCAGCACGCCTCCAGATTTTATGTGATTTTCATGAAAATTTTGGAAATGTATTTAAAAGTGAAATATTATGCGGTGAACAAATAAAGTAATTTACATATTGCCATCGGCACTTACGGTTCTAGAAAATTACCAAAATGTCGTCTCAACATATGCACAATTAGCCTTTACTGTGTAAGTAACGTTGAAGAAATATGGTAATAACGTACTGCAAAATCAGTCCTAAACCACACATAACATAAAAAGTAGTACTTGGATCTTGAATGTAATTACCTTTCTTACAATTCTAGTACATTTTTGTCAATATTTTTTGTCTTGAGAATTTTGGATCATCTGGAGGCGTGCAGCTTTAACGACAAAATAAATAAATACTCCATTTTGTTTTACCTTCTTTTGTAAACCATATCTGAAAAGTTCCATCTTTTTTTGTAGACAAATCTGATGTGACCACTCTTTTATGCAAACATTTTTGCAAGAGCTTGAATCGCAATACAAATACCTGTAATTTCAAAAGCCCTTTCCCTACTGGAACTGAAATGTTTAGCCTTTGCCACTAGTATAGAGCCAGGCGACCCTGCACATCCATGCGGTCTGATCAGGCCCTTGACTGTTGGCTGACCAAATTCAAATTTTCATCTGAATATCCCTAAAATTGGTAGTGGTAGTTCCAACAATGGAAGGAGGACAAGTCCATTAAAAACATTCAGCAGATTAACTATGTCGGCAGCTTCTTCATTAAGGCATACACTTACATATACTAAACACACAGCGGAATAAAACGTTGCAATGTGATAAGAAACACTTTGAACTAGAAAAATAATGGATGCTTCAACCTCTCTCGAATCACTTCTCATTAGAAGATTTGAGTTTTTTCTGCCATTTCATTTAAGTACAGATTACATAAACATAAATCTTTCACACATTATTTTTATTATTATTTTATGTTTTCATTTAATCGTTTATTCATTTAATGCTTTAGTTCTTATCAGACTAAACAAATAAGCAATTGAAAAAACATAATGAACAGTTGAAATGCTATTTTAATAGATTGGCTCGAATAAAATATGTTTTGCTTCATATACAGTTGTATATATCAAAGTATTTGCAATATTCATGCATTCTTGTTGATGGCGTACTAGAAAAAAACTAAACAATCCCCATAGGATGGTTTATTTTTTAATAATATGTCTTGCATCATAGTATGAACTCACTCAAATCTACAAGTAAACTTATGTACAGTAGCAATAACGCTTTTGTAGATTTACTTACAGTATTGTTCAGGAGAGAAATCAAATAAAAATAAATAACAGGCAAACCTACATACACTACAAACAAGTATTGTTGTTTCTGCTGTTTTATCGTCGCTGTTATACCAATGCGGCTTTTAAAGATTCATATTGTATGTTTAGATCCCTGTTTTAAGAATACTTTTGTTAAGAAAAAAACTTTCTATGAGCGCATCATTTCAAAACATATAATACAGAAAAAAAGTAAGTTGACACAGTTCCTTTGTACATCCTTTATTTTTTTCATCGAACACAAACTATTGAATCGAACTTGTGAGAATAAACTAGTGTGGAGCATCATCTCTGCCATAAAAAAGTCATATTTTGTGTATCAAACAAAACAGTTGATTCATCCATTTCTTTCTCAATATGCAAGAATTTTGAAATACAAAGTATCAATTTATCACACAAATTAACAAATTGGTCTTGGTAATGTGATCACTTTAGTATAAACACAATTAATGCATTTTAAAATATCAGTATTAAAATATTACTGCAGGAGATGTGCTATGAATGATTCTAAATTTCTAGGTGTCAATTTAACAAGTTAATCCTAACAAAAAGCACAACAATTGATGAGGAGAACTACCCATTCAAATTTTCTACTATGTGAGATTTTTTTTCTACTCAAACTACTGTGTTTCTTTCTTTCAGGGGATGGTAAATAAAGATGAATACAAAGATGGTATGAACTTGTAGCTTGAAAATGATTTAACTGGTGTGAAAAACATTCATTTGATGAAATATTGTTTAATTTTAGCCCATGTTGAATGTCTTTTTTGCATAATATATAATAGGAGGGGTCTTATCATATATCGGAATTATATTGTTCGATTATGTTTAAAACTTTTCAGCGAATTACTTGTTTATAATAAATCATTTTTATATAAGATAACTGCACATTAGCTGCAACTAGTGGAATTCCCTAAAAAAGTTAATCATTATTATTTTTATTTAAGTTGATTATATGCATGGGACATTGTCCAACTTAACTGAAATTGTAACCGAACAATGTATACACGTTTTCAATTTGTGTCAAATACGCAAATAATTTTGAGTAAGGAATATTGTCGCATCATAATTGAATTGCATCTTACATTTAACATGGCATTGAGTCAAACAATTTTCTTTCTTTCTCGATCTTATTCTGACAGGGAAAGAAGAATATATATAGTTCCTTTTGAACTAACTTAATTTATCATATGTAGAAGAAACGCTCAGATGTGTTATAAAACTTCTTGTTTTACTATTTACTAGGTCAATACTTCAGTGCGCCAAGAGTGCGAGTTCAAATACTAGACACCAGAAGCAGCAAAGCAGTTTCAACATTTATAAAACAGTTACAGTATGAGATAATGCATCGAAATCGCATTGATCCTGCAGTTATTGAAATATTTACAGATGTTCTTCCTGAAACAGTTTTGATTCTCGTGTGCAACATAGGCCAAGGCGGATCCACTAAAGCCTTAGTTGAGAAATGTCTGAAAGATGTTGAACGTGATTATCATTTTCTTATAAGTAACTAACTTTTGAAAAATATATATAAAAAAATACATCTTAACAATCGTTACATTTTCATATTGATAACGATGACTCGTAACGACTTAAGATAAAATCTTGTTTTTAATAATTCCTTTTTTGATATTGTAACATATATGCTCTTAAATTGTAACCATATTTTACGGTTAAGACGTGCCAAAATTTTTTATAAAGCCTACTCCTGAAAAACGTTCCTTATACTTGCTATATATCTATTTAATGTAATAACAATTTACACCGGTATTATAAAAATGGTATTTTAAAACGTCCGCCTGTATTGAAATATTAATTACATATTTGTAAAAATGTGATTAATTGTATTATTGTGCCGCAACGGTTCAAAAATTCATTTGATGCTATGAGAACAAAGAAACAATGACATTTTGTTTCAGAGATTCACTACAAAAGAGTTATTCTGGTAATGGTACACGTTATGAGAGAAGAAACACTTCCAAAGCTACCCTCTAGTGGTGAAGTAAGAGGCGAAGAAAGTTTGAAGAAAATTGGAGAGATTGTTGATATGGGTTTCGATGACGGTAAAATATATCAGTGGGATATGAATACAAAAGCCATTGAACACATTTTGCAGTTCTGTAAAGCATTTCGTTATTCAGACAATAAGGAAAGTCAAGACGATAATACAATAGTATCTGCTTCTAATAAGCAGACAGATTCAATAGTTTCTCCCCCAAAGCCAACAAATCATTCAATGAATTCTCTCACAAAACAAACAACGGATACAATGATTTCTCCCTCTAATCAACCGAAAGATTCAATGGATCCTTCCTCTGATCGGGAGACAAATCAACACCGACACGAACAAATTGAGAGTGTGCAAGAAAACATGATTTACCTTAATCGCAAAAGTAGCTCATAAGATTTATTGTGTCGCCTCTACGGAGTAGTGGCGACATATAGGGATCACTTCTCCGTCGTCTGTCTGTCTGTCCGTCACAAAACTTGTCCGAACTACTCCTCATAAACTACTGGTGCAATTTCATCCAAACTTTACAGGAATGTTCAATACCAAGTCTAGTTGTGCATATTGTCAGCATTTTCCGGTTCAATGATTTTTGTCAGAGTTATGGCCCTTTAATAATTTTTATTTTTAAAGTTTGTCCGGACTACTTCTCTTATACCACTAATGCAATTTCAATGAAACTTAACAGGATTGATCTTTGGCTCAAGTCCTTGTGCATATTGCACGGGTTTTCCGGTTGAATGATTTTTGGCCGAGTTATGACCCTTTGATAAAAAGGTGTTTTTTCTGTGTGTTGCCAGATACACAAAAGCTTGTCCGGACTACTCCTCATGAACTACTGGTGCAATTTCATCCAAACTTTACATGAATGATCAGTACCAAGTCTAGTTGTGCATATTGTCAGATTGTTTCGGTTCAATGATTTTTGTCAGAGTTATGGCCCTTTAATAATTTTTATTTTTAAAGTTCCTCCGGACTACTTCTCTTATACCACTAATGCAATTTCAATGAAACTTTACAGGATTGATCTGTAGCTAAAGTCCTTGCGCATAATGCACGGGTTTTCGGTTGAATGATTTTTGGCCGAGTTATGGCCCTTTGATAAAAAGGTGTTTTTTCTGTGTGTTGCCAGATACACAAAAGCTTGTCCCCACTACTCCTTATAAACTACTGTTGCAATTTAATCCAAACTTTACAGGAATGATCAGTACCAAGTCTTTTTGTACACTGTCCGTCTGTCTGTCCGTCTGTCACAAAACTTGTTCCAACATGAAATTGGCCATTATAAGGCGACACATGTGATGACTAATCGCTCTTGTTTTAGATAGATTGATTATATATATCTTAAAAGTGTTTTTTTTTTGTTCAAGAAACAAATGAGCTTTGTCATTAACATGTTTGATAGTTTTGACTTAAGTATTTTAAAAGTATTTAAAAATATTTTTATTTAACTTATTCCAGTCAAATTTTCACTGATGAAATTTGAGCATAAATGGTATACACTTATTCATAATCTATTATTTGTAATGCAACAAACACTGTTTTTTGTCTTTATTTCTGTTCATGTGTCAATTATATTGGAGATAAAAGTTGTGCTTCAAAATACTTAAGTCATTTTGCCAAAGCTTGTCTATTTTTAGGATATTCGAGCAAAAAGATATATCTGATGACTCCGTCTAATACCAAAGCCCTGACAGAGTTTATTAAGATATTTAAAACCAAAATTAGGAGTTTTGGATTTGATATTGATGAAAAGGAGCCAAGTGAAGCTAGAAACCTCGACCCTGATCTGTTGTTGATAGTAGTTTGCAATGCTGCATCGCGCATTGAATCTGACATCAAGAGTTGCTATGATAAAGACTTGCGTATGTAAAACCTTTTTTATTATGAAATTGATAAACAAGTAAAAGTTATAGATCGTGGTTTCATTTCCTATGAATAATATTCAATCTTATATATCGATATTTTAGAGTTCTACTAGTTTTTTTCGCGTAATATAATTTCTGCGGTAATTATATGCTTATATACTATTCCATTTAAAGACTAATTTACAGTTTTGACATACGTACACTGTACAAACGTGTGGGTACTTGTGAATTTACCTTTTAAGACAAGTTAAACATATTCTATGACTCTTTCAGAAGCCGTTGTAAACGACACAATTTTGATAGCGCTGCATGTGATAACAAAAGGAAATGAGCCGAAATTGCCTACAGAGGATAAACTAGCTGCTGACAGTATCTTTCACGATAGTGCACTGGTTAAGATTATCGACATTGCTTTTGATACTGAAAATGGAATGTATGAATGTACAATGAACACATCTGCAGAAGATTATTTTCGTAATTTTGATAAAGTTTAACACCACAAACTTAATAATATGAACATTTAAATGTAGATGGTTTGTTTTTTTCCATTTTTTCTTATATTTAATTTCATTCTGCACATCCTTTATAATTATCTTTTAGTAAGATAACTTGCAGCAAATGACCAAAAATTAAATCAGATGGTTTCGTCCTTTTTGTAGTTACTCCTGTTTCGTGCTTTTACCCTCCCCCCACCGCCAAACACGAGAACAGACACAGACAAATTGCGAAACGTGAAACACCGGAATCAAAGAAACTTTTCATAATCGTCTTGAAATAATCGTATAAAAATATTTTGTTCTTCTTGACCTTGGTGCCCCTGTTGCTGCTAATTCATTTTACCCTTTTTCTTGTTGTTCTTCAAGGTTTAAATTTATTTACATACGCGTTATTATAACTGTGTTCGCGAATTGAGTTTGTGTTTTCCCGTTTGAAATGAGAAGTGACATGACGTTTTAGTCCCTTGTTATAAATAATAAATAAAGCATTGAACCGTTTATTCATCCGATATACTGTATTAAATTATATCTTTCACACAAGAGTAGGATTTTTTTCGAAGTTTTGTTTGATTGTTTGGCCACTGGGTTCAAGGTCAAAGATGCTTTCTAAACCGCCTTTGACTGGGTGGTTAAAGTCGTTCACTGCAGCGCTGTGTGTTCGACTCGATTGTGAAGTGTTCCATGTCAGAAAGCTGTCAAATTAGCTTACTCGGGAGCCGATCGATTATGTCTGTAATAATGCATTCAGGTGTATTTCCATTTATAAAGATAGAAAGATGTTGTACGACCACCATTGTGGCTATTAGCCCTCCCTCTTAAAATAAATTGTGCTTAAATTACATTGCTTCCATTTGTCCATACAGCCTTCAATCTATTTCTTGAAAAATGTATATAATGTATGCAAATGCCTAAAATATTAGCTTCTACCGTTTTGACTAAGTTTTAGGGGTGTCTAAACGTCAAATGAACTGGTACATGAAATAGATATTTTCACTGTTGCTCATGAAGACTATATGTGCAAACTTTTGTATTTAATATTTTTGCGGTTTCTCTTACTTTGTGAGTTTCGGGTCAATCTGTTCAAGGTCTATGTATTTTATTGATGTATAATTGATAAACAATGGATGACAGTTTGAATATTTTACTTCATCAAATAAATTTGACAACAGCAAAACGTCAATACCCTGTTATTTTAATATAATCGTTGAGCAGTATTCTTTTATCATATAAATTAAGCTTTAATTAGCTCATAATTAATGTGTACACAACACACGTTGTTGATGTTTTTATTTTGTACTACATATTTCTTATTATTTTGTCCTAGTATGATAATATAGTTCAGTCACCAAACAAAGTTGGAGACATTGTAAATTATAATAATTTTGGAACAAATAAGGAAGAATAAGGAAGAATATAATGTGCCACATCGGTTCAATTCACATACGAATAAAACTCTCCTGTGTGTTTTGATATTGTCATAGGATTAACACAAATATTGACGTTCAGAACACGCAGAACACTTTGGGTGCATATTGAAAATAAGACAGAATGAGACAAGCAAATAAAATACGTTTTATAACAACATCACCGAATTACACCAATTTTTTCCTTGGTAGCTGGTGAATTATAGGAACATAACACAATTGAGATTAGATTCAATAATTTGATATGGATCTAGTGACACAATTCGGGTAGGACTATATTTGACAAAATTAACAAAATTACATGCTGCTGTCTTTATTCAAATAATATTTAAAATGAAATTAGAAAAATTACAACCTATTTGTTGGGGGCGTATCAAATCTTTTTTTTTCATTTATTGCCGCATTCATACATGCATCTGTACATAGAAATTGTTTGTCTTATGCAATAAGACATTCACAATTGTTTTCCTTAACAAATTTAAGTCAATTATAAGATCACACATTTTAGCAAATTCACTTTCAGATCATGTAATACACTAAATGTTTGTTTCCTTGCATAAACATGTAAAATCAAAAATGTTATTTAACGCAGCACAATATCTTATGTCACTATACGAGGCTAGTAATTAGTGATGTTTAAGAAAGTACGTACTTGTTACACTATTAGTGACAAAATGTAAAGTATAAAAGGCATTCTAGGATTAATGTGTAAAAGTTGTGCACGGGTTTAAACAAATACTTTCTCAAGCTCTAAGGTAGTAAAATGTTTCTGACTTAAACAAGGCATTACTACACCAGTGCAAACCTGCAACTGAAGAGAAAATTTTAGTGACTATATTTTACTTTTATGTCTGCTATTTTCCAAACAAACCTGTAATTCTTAAGTATAAAGCAGTAAAACAATAAATACTTGGATTCAAACAGTTTTTTCTTTCTTTTTTGATAATGGATTCACTTGTTAAAAATAAGATTTTTGAATGGTATCGTTTTTAGTTTTATCAATTACGATACAATTTACCTGTATTGGCGTCAATTGCGTTGCAAAGTTGTCGAAAATATTTACCAAATTTTGAGTTGACCCAGACCCCGAGTCTTAAACATTTCAACTGTGACCATAAGTGAGAAGATATAACAATGAATAATAGGTGCATAATATTAACATTTCAATTTCAAATTTCTCCAGAAACGATTGGTACTCGAGGTAAGCTGAAATTTGCAATTGCATCTGCAATCTGCGAAGAACAACACATTGGCATGAACGATAAATAGGTTCTCCATGCAGACATCAAAATATTTTGGCTCTTTTGAGTTGTTTGGTGTGTGTGAGTTGTTGCTAAATCTAATTTTATGTTATTTTTTGTTATTGCTGTGCTTGAATGTTTTGTTGTTTTATCTTTCTTGTTCAAACGCATTTTGTTTTGCACTTTTTTATCATTCAAATTTATTAAGCACACATTCTGTGAGATGCTGATTATGCCATTTGTTCCGGGAAGTAGTTATATCATGGCTGTCCAGATCAACTATAACAATGGCTGTCTAACAACCAATATATCCATCGACTATTCCGTATATAAACAAGACACTACTTTATCTGTTTGTTGTACTTTAAACTTTTTAAGTTTAAGCCGGGATACATTCAGCACTTAATTGCCGTTCCTTGCGCCTTTTCACATAATAACATAATTATTTTTAATATGATGTTATTTCAACGGCCAATATTCGAGGATGTATCCAAAAATTCGTGGACATTCTTTGTTGCGTAAAATATATTTGAGATATTGATTTCAAATTCTTACACTGCTTAGAAGAATAAATAGCAATTAAACACAAAAAAATCATGTCAGTAGCTTCTAATATTACAGCAATATTAAATTTTTACATAAACACATATCGGCGACAGCGGCACACTCCAAAACAGTTATTTACGTCAATGTCATGATAACGTACAACTTGTGCTTCAGCGTTGCACAGTGATTGACCGTTACTTATTTTCAAAGAAATGTCCGTTTTTCTGTATAACACTAAATCTTTTATGCCACTTTAACAATAATAATCGTGAAATTTAGTTTCTCTGTTAAACTGCTGATTTTTTCAAATATTTTTACAGGTGTCATTCCTAACAAAATTGTATGATGGCGCGATTTTCAAATTTCATTATGTCCGTCATTTTCCCGTTGTAAACAATATCGGTGTCTTGCGATATCAACAAAAATAAACAAAAATGACCTCCATAATTTTAAAGAATTACTTTAACGACGTCATGGAAGAAACATGCGATGTTTAGCTGTTTTTTTTTCGTTAATTATTAGTTTTTAGCAAAAAATATACGATGAATAATTGCGTTTTCCTACAGTGCGCCGGGTGCCGTAAATGTGCATATTAAAAAGCAATATAAAATTATTTATTGACGCAGTTAACTGTTTCTTTTAAAATTTGTTGATAATATTCTACAATGTATGTTATTCATATTTCACTACAATACACGTTGACGTAAAAGAGATATCTAAAAAGACCATTAATGTTTGGATAATTCTTCGTACATAAGTCCACAAAAAAATATAAACTGATTACATAAAGTAACGTCCTGTATCACAGCCGGTAATTTTGGCGAAAACACCAACATCGCTTTATTGAACACGCAGATAATAATTTCAGTGTTTTTATTTGGGTCACACCAGATACGCATATTTTGACATTTATAACGATTTATGCACAATTCACAATTCCATTATACAATTTTTACATTTTTTTGTGAGTTTGGTATTTTAGAGCATCATATCGACCGGAACTCAAATGAAGTGAAATAATAAGTCCACAATAAACCGGGACAACTAACATATAAAGTGATTTCTTAAGAAATATATAATTGTCAATTTGTACATTCTTGGACACATTAAAAAGCATGTTTAATTGTCGATCGTTTCGTTGTAAGAAATGCAACTGTAAACATATCATATAAGATGATAATCACATGGAACTGAAAAACCTATTCACATGTCAAATTTTTAGGTCATAAATGTATGTAATAATAGGTATTAATTGGCGTATATCCGAAACTGCTTCATATGAAATTTTGGCATGAGAGAGCCATGTACTTCTTAACTATTGTCAAATTAACATTACTGATAATGCTCTGATATCAACTTCTTTTCCTGAAATATATTTTTATCAATGTCATTGGAATGTTGTTTATGCAGTTATAACAAAGAAAAGGTATCTTAATAGCAAGCGAAAACCACCGTATCGTATCATAGTTTGCATAAATACGTTTAATGAGATTTAGAATTACAATTTGTGCAAAACTATCTGCAGAGGTCATAAGACAATATATTTTATGTTTACATGTAGGCATGGCGTGATGGATATCAGAGGGAATTTCCTACGCTTAATAAACAAGCAGATTGTATTTCAAACCTTGATTTTTAAATATATCTATTTCATATGTTAATGGTTGCCAGTTTGCGTAAATGTGACAAAATATGTGTCGCTTGTTTGTTTATCAACTAAAATACTTAAACATATTAAGTACCGGTACCGTTCGCCTAGTGGTTAAGGCGTCCGCCTTCGGATGGGGAGGTCAAAGGTTCGAGCGATGAATGTTTCTCGTGGGACTCATTCCGAAATGGCCGCTTCGTGAGCCGCGAGGTAGTTAAAATGAAAGGTTACCGATTTCTATCCGCCTGGTGCCTGGCATAGTTGTAGTAGTTGGGAGGTACATGGTATGCAAGCAAAAGGTGTCTCATAAGTCAGAAATGGCTGACCCTTTCAGTAGGGGTGACACTATAATAAACAAGACTTTTACTTTTATTTATTCAATTATTAGAATCTTTTAAATTTCACTAATAAACCATATGTTTATTTCTTAAAGGGAAGTAACATGATAGAATGATAAAATGGAAGAATATACTTTTTGGATATTTTTGGGATAGTCTACCGACCTTGATTTAATTTGAAGGGTTGAAACTTTTTATTTTGTAAATATTGATTTAAATTTTTGACACAAACTTTAACTGTTTCGATGCAGGTCTGATAGTTGCAGATAACAGTTGTGCGCTATTGTTTTGTATTTGTTTACTCTGCGATCGAGTGCTGCATAATACGTATATATCACAAAAAAGTTATATAAAAAAATAAAAAAGTAGAACATATCTCTTAACCCGGTTAGAAAGTGACATTTATATACCTTGTTGCACCTACATTAAGCAGTCCAGCTCGCTACATGTAAACGAGTGTGATGAAATGGGTGTCTGTATCTGTGTCAAGTGTAATATAACAACCGTCACTGTTACAAAAACAAGTCGTTGAAACTAAAATTCTTACAGCTAAAATTCGCTATTCTTTCCATTATCTGTTTACACCAATATAGACAAATAGGGGTGTCAATTCATCTAACAAAAGCATACATTTTTTAACCTAAATTTTTCACCATCTATATATATATATTTATACTTATTATCCGTTGCAATTTAATTAGAAGATGGTAACATGAACTTTAATTGTAAGAATCATTTGTAACCTCTTTAAGTTCGAGAAAGGCT